GGGTTTGCCGCTTGGTTCATATGCAACTCGCAAATATCTTTCTCTCTCTCTCTTCTCTCTCCTCTCTTCTCTCTTTTCTCTTCTCTCTCTCTTTCAATGTTAATACGCAAATGCGCCTTTTTTCAAATGACCCGGTGCTCTTTTTTCGGCGGACCAGTTATGTGCAGCCCTGGATATAATATTATTTCACACACTCAAAATTGATGTTCTGCTGTTGTTGTAGAGAAATTATTTCTGATTTGAGTTACATTTTTGAATCTATTTGTTTTTTCCACATTTGTTTTCACAGTGAGGAAGGCGATGATGATATGGCTTCTGGATGCCCGAGTATTATGGGGAAGATGCCACCAAGGTCAGGAGGTACTGCAGGAGGTGCTCTGATGCTGGCAACAGAAGGGTGAAGACACCTGTGTACTGCAGGAAGTGTCAGGTCCCTCTGTGCTTCACTACCAAAAAGAACAGGGGCATGGCATGACTTACTGGAGTAAAACTGGAACATTCAGGGTTTGTATAAAGTTTTTTTTTTTTACCCAAAAAATGCTTGTTGTATAGTGTGTTGCTAATTTTTTTTAAATAAATCTGCTCCAGTTGGAGTCAAATGTTTCCTAAGTTTCCTTATTTTTATTGTGCAAGTAACATGCATCTCATGCAAAGAGAGAACTTCCCACACATACAGACATACAAACACACTTAATATTTTTAATTTTTTTACAATTCATTTTATTTATTTTTTATGGAATGAATACCTATAGTGATAATTAAATGTTATACCACGATTTGTACAGTCTGGTATCTGAAAAAGGTTAAATGGCACTCATGGAACCAAATGTGCCCAAAGCTTAGTCCGCTTGGACTTTTTTTTGCTAAATCTCTCTAAAAAGGTCAATTCTCCCTTGTTTTGCCTCAATCTTGATACAGGGTACTTATTATATGTTATACTTTGGATTCCTAAATCTTTTAGGCTACTAACCCATCATTCAAGGGTGATTTTCACTATAAGTAATGGGTTTTATTTGGGCGGAGACAAGAATTTACATACTCTGACACTGAAACATCTTTATTGATTCTGACACTTCTACATCCAACTCACAAATGTGACCTTGCTTTGATAAAATAAATTATTCATATAACCCTTTTAGAAGTTAAGTTATAGTCCTTTGTTTTGGGCATGTCATTTTCGAGCCTGAAACCTGAAAAACAGGCTTGGGGCTTAAGAGGTTAAGCCATGCTGCTGTGTGTCTCTACAGGATTTGATGTGGCAGCTGCTGCAAGGATTGGACTTCCTACACACCAACATGGTGCTCCACCGTGACCTGAAACCAGAAAACATCCTGATCAGCAGCCGCGAAGAAGTCAAGATCGCAGACTTTGGCCTGGCACGCATCTACACCTATAATATCGCTCTCACTCCAGGTGTAAGTACGGCAACACATGAAGAAAAATGATTGTACTATGCTAATTATAACTGCAGAAGTCCATGATCCTTTGTCGTTTGACAGTACATGTTTTCCTAAATATAGCCCTGTATTCTGTTTGTTCCTAAGCTTGAGGTGAAATATGTTCTTGCATGTTCAACCGGGGGTTCCCCCGCCCCTGTTGTGTCCTCATTATGTTTGGCATCCTCTCTCTGTTTAGGTGGTGACGCTTTGGTACAGAGCTCCAGAGGTGCTGCTGAACTCTGTTTACATGTCATCAGTGGACATGTGGAGCGCTGGCTGCATCTTTGCTGAGCTCTTCCTCCTGAGGTAAAGAGTCTGTGTCTGGCTCGGGGAAAAATGTGGCACTGGACTAACATTTAAGATGTGAAACATTCTCCACAGTCTTCAAAAATCGAGATATCTTTTTATTTTCCTTTTGCATTGTTCCTTTAACACTCCCACAGACCACTGTTTAAGGGATACACAGAGGTTCAACAGCTGCAAAAAATCTTTGAGTGAGTATTTTTCCTTAATCTCTCTAAATACTGTGTAGACTGTAAAGAGTATATTTACAGTTGTATGCTCATACTATCAAAACAGGCATTTTAACTCAAACCTACTTTTAAAATTATTAATTTTGGCTGTTTAAAACAATGCCAATATTCACTTAAATGTCAGCAAGAATGTTTTCCATTTTTGGATTCATCGTTCATTGTGCAGGCATGTAAAAAACATTATTTTTGTCTTGCTGACTTCAAAAAAGTTTCTCCACCATCTGTTACAACCTGCCTTAAGACTGGAACAAATAGGGAGGCCACACAGAGTTAAATGCCAAATATCTGTTTATTTAACAAGTTAACGAAAAACACCTCTGATGAATAGTGTACGTAAGAATCAGACTGTCAGTAGTGTCAGCAGTGTGTGGGTGTGTGGAAGGGTGTAGTAGCATGTTGGAGGGTGCATCAAACCTAACACAGGCTGTAGGCTGAGGCTGCTGCAGCATGCCAGGATCAGAATCAGAGAGTGATCCTTGCAGCTGGGCAACCTTTATATCTTCTTGTGGCTCCGCCTCTAGATGGGCGGGCACAAACAGGACAACACTCCCAGTACCTGCCAGAGGAGAGCAAGGCAGGGAGCACAGCCAGGCAGAAGGGGGAGGGGTCGTCACACCCCTCCCTTAAAATGGAGGACCCACTAGGATCCTCTAACCTGGGGCACAAAATCACAAACACAATAAACAAAACCAAGTTAACCTTGAAATGTTCATACAACCTGCAAGCACATCTGTAGCATCTAGCTCAGGGATGGGCAAATGGCGGCCCGCGGGCCGCATGCGGCCCCCACCTCCTCTTTTTGCGGCCCTCAGATTAATTTATAAACGTAATTCAATTTCTTTCTTTTTTTTAAATTACTTTTACTTGTAGTACTGATACCGTCCACTAGACTCCTAGTTACGTAGCGAGCTGCGTACATGAT